GGACCTGAACACTAGATATGTTGGACAGTCACCTTCGAGGTGAAAGGAACGTTGATGGAGTTGATTTCCAGGTCTTCTTTTTCTTCATTCCTGTAATTGATGTTTCGGGGTTTCAAGCTCGGGCTCTTGTAGTCTTGTCCATGGTGAAGTTTACATGGATACTGCAACAATCATTCATATTGACATTTCTCATTTCCTTTCATTGACGTTTCAGCTCAAACGCGATTTTGTTCTCTCGAGTCATTTCTCATTGATGTAGTTTTATTTTTGTACAACAAATGTGCATATGCATGCACATGCACATACAAATATGCTACGACTCTTAATTTCCCATTAATGTGTTACTTCTCCTATTTCACTAACCTAACAGAGAAATAAAATATCAAATGTAAAATTATAAATTGACACTAACCTAACTGAGAAATAGAATTATAAATTGTTTAATTTATAATTTTATATAATATATATAATTTTGATTTTTGTTTAATTGTATATATAAAATTTTAATTTATTTATACACATTTAAAAAGTAAATGCATTCATTTATAATAAAGTCATCTTTATACATTTTGGTAGGAGTAAAATGGTTCATCTATTAAAATGTTCATACGCTTATTTAGTTAAATGTTGATGTAAAATTTTAATATATTTTTAGATAAATTATGTAAAATTTAATATTAATTAAAATTATGCATGATATATTTACTCTTTTATTCTACCCAATTATCTTTTAAATTTTATAAAAAATTATATATAAATTTTATTAAAAAGTATATAAATTAAAAATAATAAAGTAATATATTCTCGATGAATTTTTATATAAATATTTTCATTTAAATATTTAGAATTCCACTTGTTAAAAATATAGAACAAGGACAATTTCGTAAAATATACATTCCAGTAATCTTTTATTACTTCAACCAAACACTGTAATCTTACATTCCTGCCAAACAAACCAAACACAGTAATGTAACATTCCCAGTAATGTGTTAGGTAATGTTACATTCCGGTAATCCTATTCCCGGAGGTAATCTTACATTCTGTGAACCAAAACACACCCTTAGACAGTTTTCAATTTTTGTTCGTTCATGGCAGTGGTGGTGGTCTTCTCCGAACCATCACCTATCATTTTTAGTTACTTTTTATTGCATTTAATATAATAATACTTTTATCCCTTTCTCTAGTAAAGAGTATCATGACTATCAGTGTTTTTGGACTCTCGGCGTAGATTTTTATTTAATTTTCTTTTTGGTTTTTTATTTTACCTGAATACATTTTTGTTTCTTTCCCGATGCATGGTTCATCTGTTCGTTTATTCAAGACGATTTGTTGATTATCTCATAAAGGTGCCGAATGAGATTACTGTTAAGGGGAGATCGCTTTTTCCGTTGGCCATTTTGATTCTTCTTCAAGTTTCTCTCCTCCATATTTGATGTTCGAAACCGTTGGTGTGTTCAGTTTTTGTACTTCGTTGCTTCACTTGTTAATTGTTTTGTTTATAGGATATCTCTATGTGATCATTGTTATATGTTATTTCGATAATCACAACTATATTTATTCAGTTTGTATTTAACAAAACGTTTGTTGATACAACTTCAATAAATGAAATATCCTATTTATGTTAAAAAAAACTTTATATATAAAAATATTTGAAAATTAAAGATCTATAATTTTATATATTAACAATAAATTCGATTTTATACGCACAAAATAAACACTTGAATCATAACTAAATCAATATTTCAAACTCTTTGAATTTATTAACAATGTTTATACAAAATATAATTAAGGGTATATTTGTTTTACTGTAATAGATTTTGGGAAAATATTTTCCACTTTTTTAGTGTTTAGTTGGCGGAAAATAAATTATCAATGTAATTTATATTCCTAGCCAATTGAATTTCCTTTGTATTTTCTGGAAAATAATCTACGGTCTAATTTTCTGTAAATTATTTTATGAACTTTTCACTTCAAAATATAAACACACAAAATATTATTATTTTATATATATTATATTAATATATTATTTTAGCATATTTTAATAAAAGTGTTAATTACTAAATTATATTTATCGATAATTTTTATAATATAATATTTTTTATTTTAATAATATATAATAAATTATTAATAAAACTAATATTATTTATTAATATCATAAAAATAATATTTTTAAATTGTTAAATATTTAAAATATATTCCTTATAATATAATATCACATTCTTATTTTAATATTATAAGTTTTAATAGTTTAATAATATTATTATTTTAATAAGTAATTACTATACTTAATAATATATTATTTTTATTTTAATATAATTATAATATTTTTATTTTAATAAAATATAATAATATTAATATTTTATTTAAAATTATAAAAATAATATTTTAATAATAATATTGACATAAATAGTATTAGATAAATTATTCTAATATTTGAAAAATAGTATTATTATTTTTTTAGTAAATAATATTATTTATTGCATTTGATGTTTATAATAAATAAAGTTTAACAAATTTAACAACTAATGAAAAATGAATTACACAATATTATCTAAACACTGTAAAATGATTTTCAAAAAATATTTTTTAAAAAACATTATTTATTTTACAGAATTCATTTTTCAAAATTAATTTTCCAAAATTAATTTTACATGAAACAAAGAGACAAGTGAGGATGGGACTAAAGCCCGAGTTGTTTTTTAGGGTTTACAAATCTAACCGCTAACTTTATGAAGTTCATAGTTTTTCTCTTGAAGTTTATACGTTTCTAATTTACTCCCAAAGTTAGATAACTCCGAAAATTCGAAATGTTCAAAATTATACACGAAGTTCTGACCTTATATTTGAGATGTGACACATTTCATATTCAAATCATACCTCGTTTTTACAGCCAGGTCACAATTTTTAAATCACTTATATATACACCATAAATTATGAATAATTGTTATCACCATTATTTATATCATATTAGGCATGACTCGTTTCATCATATAAACATAAATTTCATGACATTAACATAAAATTTACCACACTTAAGTATATCATAGCAGAATTCTACTTATAGTTGCATATATATTATTAAATAATATATTTAAAGACTCACTAAATCAAATATTAATAATTTATCAAACTCACAATATGGACTTGCATTTAGAAATCCTTATTTTTTATTGCTATCTTTAACACATATGGTGTCCATTCCCTCTTCTTTCATCGAACCGTCGTCCTTTGACGACATTGAATGGTTGTTGGCGGCCACCAAAGCCCAAAACATCTATTCTTAATTTATTTAACCCCTCTAATTCATCCAAAAGTGTATTAATTGTCATGGAATGAATCTGAGGTATGTCACCGACGGAGGAACAAGCTAAGTGGTTCGGGGGCTAATGGCACATGTGCAGTTAGAGGTCAATATTCAATTGAGTTGAGTTTTGATGAGTACTATTTTATAAATTAAATTTTATTTATAAAGAAATTCAAGTCAAGTCAAATCAAGTCAGTGATGGATGCAAAGCATATTCAGAGTGGGCACCTGCCCATCATAAAATCCGAATTTCTTTATATTAATTATCCATTTTACTATAGAGCCGACCATGAAATTTTATTTTTATTCACTTCATATGAAAAATTTCAATAACTAATATATATGTGCCCATCTTAAAAAATATTTTGAATCTGCCACTGCCACTGAGTCAAGTTGAGGTGTTCGAGTTTCTGTTCAAGGTTAGTTGTAAATATTCATAATGTTATGATACTAATTGATTATAATTTAATTGATTTTTTATAAGTATATATAATATACATATATATTTTTTCATATATGATATAAATATCATGAATAGTTGAGAGATTCGATTTGAACTTGAAAATCAATCCACTAATTATTAAAAAAAAAATAGGTTATTCGAATCTTATTTTATAACTCGACTTGAATTTAAAATTTTTCGAGTTGAGTCAATTTGAGCCAAGTTTTTAAACATCGAGTAGAACCGAAAAATTTAATTTTTTATTTGAGTTGAGTTTTGTTCACCCTATGTGTAGTAGAGTTGATTTGGATTCAAGTTAGGCGTTGTGTGTGGGTTAGGGTTGGGGGAGATGAGTTTAGGGTTCTGGTATGGGCTTTTGGCAATAACTCCGGGCTATACTAGTTTAACGGGTCCTTGGAGCATAGGTACTTGTGACTCATGGATTTGAAAGTGGTTGAAACTTGTTGCTTTCCTTTTTGTTAAGCGATTCGCCTGTGTTTCCTTCACTTTCAGTTCATTATGGAAGATTTATCACATGTACATCAAATGTTGTGTCAACCTTGAGTCTCCCCCAGCTAGTATTTGTCCCAATCAAAGATGTTGGCCACATCACTTTAATTTTTAATTGAGTATAACCAAAAATTAATGATTGTTATAGTTTCTCAAAAGTGGGTGCCATGTATTTGGCATTTGGTTCTAAGCCACAAATTAGCAATTATGATTGAAACCCAGACTTTGCTACACCATTCTTAATATTTTACATTTGTGCTTTATGTATTTTTTTAATGGAATTAAGTGGCTAAGCTGATAATAAAAAATATTTATATTTAAGATTCGTATTCTACAAATCCAATTACTTGAATTTAGAAATTTTAAAGAAAATAACATATTCATTAACTACCGAGACAAATTGACGAATTCAACTGAATGCCTTATACTGCAGTTTAATAAATTTTGGCGTCTAATAAATTTTTCTCACAACAAAAATAGAAACGTGTCACCACTGGTGATCCCAAAGCAATTACTCCACAAAATTAGTCAGCGCCACTAAGACAAAAACAAAGTCATCCGACGTCGTTTTAGCATTGTGATAGCTAGTTTGTTGAAGTTGAACATGTTGTCTAGCTTCCCTTAATATCGTCTTAAAAACAGCAACAGCAAAAGAACTCCTCCATCATCGACCAACAAAGCCGAATTTATTATCTCATCATCACATCTCCTTGAACAATCACAAAAGAAAATCCAGGAAGATTCATGGCTCGATGGCTGCAATTGATTCGAGCTCTAACGTGGACTGTCCTGTTGACTTTAATGGTGAGCATAGCATCGTTTATACCAGAGATGGCCTTCGTGTCAGCGGTATCTCCGTCGTCGTCGTTCTCGCGATCTTGCAATGCCGAAGGAGTTGTGAGGATTCCATTGGACTTGCCAAGGGAGAAACTGTGCTTGCCTGCTTATACGGTGAAGAGGTCCAGTGTGGATTTCTTCGTTCCTACTGTTTTTGCAGGCCTTGTTGTTGCTGCTTCTGCATGTGCTGTTCGATCTCTGGGCTTATGGGAAAATGAAACAGCTTAATATATGTTTGTATTCTGATTCTTATAATTAATAAAGATCAGCTGTTGTTGTGTTGGAGGTGAAATTTGATGTGTAAATGTATTTCTGACAATGGAATTCTGCTGTTCTATAATACACGAATTGCAGGTATCAGAGGAAACATTTTTCTGATTTTCTTTTCTCGTAGTAAATAAATTTGTTTTCTAATGTCTTGCATCACCCGCCACAAGATTGTTGTAACCTATCGTCTTTACAAGGCTTGATGCAATTTAGTGGTAATAAAATTTATTTTATTCAGATTTTTTTTCTCCACGAATACGAATAGACTCGGCAAATTTGACCCAAACCCGATTATCCCAATCGATTTATCCGACCTAATATATTATATTAATTCGAACATAATGATTAAATTTGATACGAAATCCGAACCATATCTAACTCGAACCATACCCAATCCAAAATTTAGCTTACCCAATATGGACTCATATCCAATTTGACCCGGATAAAAAACAACCCGAACCAAATGAAATTTGAACTGAAAATAACCCGAACCGAATTTAACTTCATCCGAAAGTAACCTAAACCGAAATTAATCCGAACAAAAAATATATATATACTTGATTAGACTTGTAAACAAATTAAGCCTAAATGATAAGATTAACAAACAAGAAGACATAGTTTTACAAGAATATATCTATAATTCTATATATGTTTGATTAGACTCATACCTAATACGATCTGAATTAATCTGATCCGATATTGATAAAATCCGAAAATCAATCGATTTGATATTAATTTGACCCAAATCTAACCGATCCAGTATTATCCCGACCCAAAAATCAACCGATCCGATATTGATTTGAACTGAAAAACAATCGATTCAATAGTCACGACCCGAAAATTGAACCACCCACTACACGACCAGACTCAATTTACCATACACCCGAACTAAATCCGATCCAGACCCAATCCGATCAGAATAAAATTAAACTGAATATAATCTAGATCGGAATAACCCAATCCGAAATGATCACATCCAAACTCAATCCGAAAGACCTGTTTGTCACCTCTAAATATAATGATGGGAGAAAACTAGGTATGAAGTCATTCAATTATTTAAAAGTTCTTTTGTAATCACTTAATTATATACAAACAAAAAAAAACTTACCAAATATCAATTAAGTTCTTCTTTTTACGATGCAACATATTTTAAAATTAATGTAATAATAAATTTAACTCAGCATCTTTTATAAATTGAATCAATATGGTTTTAATTTTAAAAATAAAAATAGTCATGTTTACAAATTGTAATAATATGGTCACAATTTTCCCTACATACGAATACAAAGATGGGGGAAACTAAAGTTTGAAGTCATTCAATTATTTTTTTTAAATCACTTAGTTGTAAAAAAAATTCTTACAATAACTCAATGAGTGGCCTTAATGATTAAAGGGAGTATTATTCTCCAATGAGGTCTTGTATTTAAGTAGTTACATCTACATGTAGTGAGCGTTGTCGATAGTTAAAAAAAAATATAAACAAATACTACTTTCTAATCATCTTATATTATAAATAAAAAGTTACAAAATATCACTCAAGTTATTGAATTCTTCTTTCTGTGATGCAACAGATTTTAAAACTGATAAAATAATAAATTTAACTCTCATCTTTTACAAATTGAATCAATATGATTTTAATTCTAAAAAACGCATCATGCTTGCAAGTTGTATTATTATGATCATAATTTTATAAAAATAAAAAACATAAGAGACATGCTTAATTAATAAAAGTAAAAAACTAAGATTTATTTTGTTTTTAATAACCATTAGTTTAATAAAGGTTATGTAAAAAAGTCACCTTAACCATTAGGAAATTTAACAAGTAAAAAAAACCCATTAAGGAATTTAGTAAAAAGTGCATGGGTAATATTTTGTATTTTTGGTATCTCAACGATATGATGTTGATTTGAGTTCAATTATATCAAATTGAGGAAGGATCAAATTGTAAAGGATTGTAAGTTTAATGGGCCAATTCTATAAAAAAAAATCAGTTCACAAGTATCGATTTTTTATATGGCTATCAATATCCCTTGCATAGTATCGAAACACATATCTACTTTCTTGAATTTTAGAATATCAAACTTAAGTGAGGTAACGATACCTTGGACGATACCAAGCGTTGTTTAATCATGAATATAATAATAATAATTTTACCATTTATCCAATTTTTCATCTACTTTTTGTCGATGATCGTGCGCTCTACACAAAAACTGATATGACCCATGCCCATCTCATTGATTCTACCTTTAATCTCTTCGGCTTTCACTCCAGACCTATGGTTAATAGAAATAAAAACAAAGATCTCTACTGATGTCAAAAGGATGATTTATAATGGAATGAGGTTTTATGAAATCACAGACTTTGACAAGTACCTTAGTGTTTCGGTTCGTTATTTTAATTCAGACAGAGATTATTTCAGATAAAATTTAGATGAAACTTGACGGTTAGTCAATTCGTATCCTTTTCTTTTCCGGTGGACTCACACTTGCCAAATCTATCCTTCTTTATGTACCTTCTTGCATTATGTAGTCTTGCAAGCTTCCAGCATCCCTTTGTGATGACATTGAAAAATTGGTTCGAAGGTTTATTTGGAGATCAAATTCTTGGGATATTCTCTGTAAACCTATGATTTGTGGTGACTTAGGTATTTGAAGAATTAGGTCCCAAAATACAGCTTATCTAATGAAGATTGTAATTCCCTGGTTCACTGTTCGGACACCCTTTGGGTTCGGCTTCTCAGAGAAAAATATAGAGTGCTTGAGTTATGATCAAATTCTATCAGTCGGACGAACTGCTCTCCTTTTCAGCGATCCTTTTCTACATTTTGGGTGGAATCTGACTATCATATTGCTTGGTCGATTGGAAATGATGGTCTCATTAATTTTTGGAATGACGTTTGACTTCCAAAGTTGGGTCAATTGCCCACTTTGCTGCTCCTACAGCGGCCATTGATGACTCATTAACTGTGGCCGAGTTAGTTGATGATGACCTGGACTGGAATTGGAGTCAATTACGCGAGATGTTGCTGCCCGAAACTATACCCTACTTCCTCAATATCCAACCTCCAAGTCCCTCTCTAAATAGCGATTAATGTTGCTGGAAAGAAGATCCGAAACGTAATTTCTACATCAAAAGTGTATTCATGGCCATCTCTAGCTCTTTATGGAACGACATTGATCCCAAGTTTCTTATGGTTAACGTTTCGGGACAAGGCCCTTACAAACCATAGCAGTTGTATGTGGGGTCTCAGCCAAGATGCTTCATGCCCTACTGTGGTGCAGCCGATGAAACCATGTTACATATTTTAGGGGATGGTTGTCTTGCTCGTACTCTCTGACAAAAGCTTACAAACTATTATCCTCGTCCCAATTTCTTTGCTTTAACTTTGGATTGGTTACTGATTAATCTGGGTTGTGACAGCTTATGCAAAGCGACAAATGGACGGCCCTGGCATATCCTCTTCTCCTCCATTGTTTGGCAAATATGGCAATGCCGAAACATTGTCGTCTTCCAGGGAATCCCCGTCCAGGCTGCAACGATTCTCCAAAACAGCGTAATGTGGAGCAAGCTTTTTCTATCTACATCTTCAACGGGTCTTTCTTCAACCTTTCCCGATCCTAAGCTTATCCAATGACAACCACTTGAAGACGTGACAGATGGCGTAGTCTCTTCCGATAACAAAGGTAACGCTGAAGGTGTTTTGAGAGACAATAGCGAGGTTTTCAATACTCTTTCACCGTCGTCTTCAAATAGTCCCTTTTTCTAGTTATTGAGCTATGCCAAAAGGCCTAGTATGTTAAACCTTTTGTGATCGCAAGAGAAGCTAATTAAGTGGGGGATTACATGACCAAACACACTCCTAAAGAGGATGGATCTCTAGCAATTATCAACTCCATTCCTACTTATCGTACTCTCCAAAAAAATATTCACGGCCCTCCTTATTTGCGGATTAGAGGCTGATGTTTTCACTTGGCCTTTCCCTTTCATTCCAAAAATATGTATTTACATATGCACATATAAACATACGCAACATGTATCAATACCCTCTATAAACTTTCAAAAATTTACATTTATGACCTAAAGGTTTCCTTAATTTTACAAAGAGTCCTAGGCTAAAGTTGATTGGATTTCATGGTTTTTGAATTTCGATGGGATGCAAGTACATGATTGCCATGTTGGTTGTTTGTAAATTTCGATTATGCCATCGTATGCTAAATGTGCATATTAAGGTTTAAAAAAATTAAAATTATATTGTTTATATTCTTATTTTATGAATATGGACTCATAAGTGGTTTTAGTAGTTAAGATAAATATTGTTCTTTTCAATAGTTTTTGGGTTCGAACAATTGTGTATGTAAATTTTATGTATTGTCAATAGATAAGAAAGATTCTGAATAGATATTTCTGAATAGATATTACTTTATAATCAGTCAAAATTATTCAAAAATAATATTCTAAATATAATATTAATGTATGTATACGCCTCCTAGAGTAAGGATGTTATATTCTATATCATAAATTTCGGTGGTAAACTTCTACAGAAGATAACAAAATCGTGTCGAAGATCGATAAATAACTTTTTCTTTAAAAAATTAAAAAAATTATAAAATTATATTTTAAACTCTTATGGTGCTTTTTAAAACATGACCCCTCGTTTTTTTTTCAAAATCCTCGTTAAGTTTAAGGAAGTTAAACATTTTAAATTATATATCTTCCCAAAATTTTTAAACTTTTTTTTCATTCGGTCTCATTTTTTTCAAAAAAATTAGTTAAATATTTTTTTTTCAAAAAAAATTAAACTCTTCAAAAAATTTAAAAAATTGTGTTTAAACTTTCATAATTATTGGAAAAAATTGAAGTATGATTGCCCAACTATTTTGTCATGATCAGTAATTGTCGATGGAAGTTTAAACTAGGGGTGACCGTTCGATCGATTCGAGTTGAGTCGAGTTAAAAAATTTCGAGTTATTCGAGTTAACGAGTGCTATTTTACAACTCGGATTTGATTTAAAAAAAATTTGAGTTGATTTGATTTTATAAAATTCGAGTCGATTTTTGAGTTTTTATTTAAATTTAATTGTAAATATTTATAATATTATAATATTATTTGATTCCAATTTAAGTGACTTTCTATAATCATATATATAATACAAATATATTTCTTTGTGTTTTTTTCATACGTGATATACATATATTTTACAAAGCAAGGACTCTAGTCAAACTTGAAAATAAATCCACTAGTTACTAAAAATTTCGAGCATTCGAGTTGCATTTTATAACTCGATTTGAATTTGAAATTATTTCGAGTGGAGTAAAAAAATTTGGTTTTTCGAATCGAATCTAGTCGAGTTTTGCTCACCCCTATTTTAAACTACATAACATTGGATATTGGGATGGGTATTAGATATTTATTATTGAAAAATATTTTATTATTCAATTTAAATTTCTAAAATTAATAATTAAACTGAATTAATAATCCAAACTAGATAAACTAAATCAACAAATCAAGAATTTTTTACTAAATCAATTCAATTAAGTTTGCTTACCTATTTGTTCGTTCCTACCGGACATTATACATTCCAACACCATTATGCCTCTAAACGAAGTGAATGAATACGAACGACGGTATATGTTCATTTGTTTAATTTTATCTGAACAAACAAATGAACACGAACAATTAAACGAACAAAATTTCATGTTCGTTCATTAAGGAATTTAGTTTGTTTATATTCGTTCCTTAAAATGATAAATGAACACAAACGAATGAATGTAAACCAACACAAACAAACAAACATAAACTAACATAACAAATGAACATAAAATTAATAGGGTTTATATTTAATTTTTTTCTTTCTTTCAAAATAATTTAGCATTTATATTTTCTTTAATTGATTTGAGTATTTTTTTATTTGGGTTTAAAATTAATTAAGTTTAAAAATATTAATTAGTTTAAGGTTAAATTTTATTAAATCTTAATATTTTTAAACGAGTCCGAATAACATAAACGATTGAATATAAACGAACAGATTATTAAACGTTTATGAACTTAAATATACGAACGAGAATTTTATTAGTGTTCGTTTATTTAATTAAATAAGCATAAAATTTTATTAATATTCGTTTGTTTAATAAATAAATAAATTTAAACAAACTTCCGGCCAAATGATTAAATTTTTTATTTAACGTTGAGTTCATTTACATGCCACCGTCCATACCTTGAATTGCAATCACGGTGATAATTAAGCTGCAAGGATTTGCCAAATGTTGGTACAAATTTGTAAATCAAAATGCTGGAATTTTTACCAATCATTAGTTAGCTTAAGGTGATGAGATATTAATTTTTTAAATAAGATTAATAATATAAATTATGATATTATAAGTTATAACCGGAGTAAACTGTATTAGGAGGTGCCCAAAATAATAATTTTTTATAAACTTACAGTACACCTGATATAAATTAATCGCTAAATACATAAAATATTAGTATGATTTAGAAAATCTAATATTTTTAATTCTATATATTTTTTGATATTACTATCGATATCTGATATATTGATCGACTAATTCGAATCAAGTATTGCAAAGGGAGACAAAGGCAACCCTTCCAACTCAATTTACTATATTCGGCTATTCGCAATCGTCAGGATTCTAACTCCTGACCTTGCTTAAGGGAACTAGTGTCTCATCCCAGTAGACCAACTGAATGTTAGTTAATTTTGTACATTGTGTGAGATATGATTTTTTTTTTATCATTTTCCTTAGATTATCCACAAATATCTTATTTTGAGTATTAATTTCTCATTCATCATATTATCGTTTTGAACATATGAAATATCTTTATAAAATTCTCATAAAATAAAATGTGAACCGATAAATTAATCATTTAAATCTCCACCCTCAAAGGTTTTAATTTATCACAATTTTTTAAACACAAATTTGTAAACCAAAATGCTGCAACTTTTAATTGTGTACATTCTTTAAAGTTTGGGAACTCCAATCTCTATGAGATGATGGGAAATGATCATACGTGGCCGTCTTAATATACGGTTAAAAAAAAGTTGTATCGGTTTTGTTATTATTTAAATAATAAAACCGGTAAAAATTATCGGAAACATTATTATTTCTACCGATTTTGTTATTATTGGGCGTTTTACCGGGTAATATATCTAGTAGAAAAATAATGTTTTAAGTAGTGTTTTACCGGATATATTATCAAGCTCGATAAATCGTCCAATAATAACAAAACCGATAAAAATAATAATATTTTAGATAATTTTTTACCGATTTTATTATTTAAATAATTACAAAACAAGTAACACTTTTTAACCGTATATTAATTGTGCTGCATTGTAGAACTTCCATGAGATAAAATCGAGAATGAAATTCCATTTCCCATGTTTCAAAGTCAAACCAACCGATTGTCAAAACCGCTACTTGAGGTTAGTGCCATTACATTGAAATCAAAACAAAATGAACCCACAAAAATCAAGGCACCCAAATTTACACCCTTTCAACAAAAAGTCCCCCCTTCACAACATTCCCAACCCTACTGTTCCCTCTCACCGTGCCGTGCCGTGCCTTGCAATCTTTCTCTCTGTTCTGTTACAAAAACTACAAACAAACAATTCATATTCCTATGCTACAAATCACCAATGCACAATGATGATCTACACTTCATGCCTTTTGCTTCCCACTTGACTATTGCTTCCACTTTTGCAGCCGATATCCCCGTTCCTGACACCTTCTTTCTTCGTTAGCACAGCTTTCGACTTCCTCGGTATGCACTTGGAACGAGCTCCATCGATCTCCTTTTCGGCCAACTGCAACTGCACCCTCCTGATGATTCAAAGTTCATCAATTACTCAAACGAACAGGCAACAAGGAGAGCAAACCCAACAAGTAAACTAGAATAAGTGCTTCTTCTTTTTAGTTCTAGGAGAACCATTGGATTCAAATACGGATTATTAACCTGGATGGGCAATATTTAATATGACCTATCATTAAATGGACAGATGGCTAATGGAAGGATGGCTAATGGAAGAAAAAGTGAAAAAAACGAAGACAAACACAACCATCATTTCCAGTACATGAACAATAGATCGTACCTGTACCAACAAAGTGAATAGCCTTTAATCTAAAACCCAGTACGAATGTTACACTGAAGACCCGAACATGCCAAGCAGGGTCTTTTTCAGACCCAGAACAAACTTTACTTGCCTTCCAGGTCAGCTACAGTTCAGTTTTCAACAAAAACTTCAAAGCTATTCATTGCATCATACCCTCAATGCATGTACACTTCAATCACATCAACATATAGTATTTGGTTCATTCTAAATCCAGAGTTTGCTTAATCACATTGAGGCTAAATTGTCAAAATTCCAAAGCTAGTAATCTCATATGAATCTAACAAGATGAAACAACATGCAATTAATTTTTTTAAATGTCTATGATTTGAACAGCTGCGTATATAAAATATATAGTGTGTGAATGCGTATATAGTGTGTGAAAGCGTATATAGAGTATGTGTGAATATTACCTGACTATTCAAAAAGTAATCCGTTCACATTACTCAATGGTTAACAAAGTTACCTATCAGCATTGTAAGAAGAAGATCTCTTCAAGGAAGGAACTTCAACTTTCTTGGTTTCAATCAAGCTCCCACTGAAGTACTCTTTATCTTCCAATCTTACCCTTGAGAAGCTCCCAAGATCTCTTTCAATCCCAGTTTCTTTCCTCACATGGCTACAATCTCCTGCTCCACGAGGTAGCCTTGATTTATAGTGCCCAATCAAGGATAACCCTTGATCCCCCTCTGAGCTCGGTCCACAATCCTTGAAGGAGATCGAACCGCAGGATATCAACTGCATCAAAACAGAAGACGCCTTCATTCGACCACTCTGGGAACCCTCAGCCGTCCAACACAAGTTATCTTCGTTCCCACCACCACCACCACCACCATTGCACAACCTCAGCCGTCCATCAGCTTTCATCAGTGATTCCAATGTCTCGGGACTAGAATCCGACGGCGGAGGTGAAATCTCTTCTCTGTTAAGCTCCGATGTCTGCTTCTGCTCCAACTCTTGACTTCTACTTTGCACCTCCTCGATCTCCGTTTGCTTAACCACCGGCTTTCGCCTTCTCTTATCATCGGTTTGAGTCGATGCATCAGCAGCGAGTCCCCGAACTGACTCGGAGCTTGACTCGGCCCTATAAACTCTGTATTCGTGGAGATCAATGGAACCCCACGACTGATTCCTCCGTCGTCTGGTTGACGGAAAGTCACGATCTTTGTCGGGGTTTTGACCGTCCAATGGTTTTGTTAATCTAAAAGAAGATGACTTTACTTCGAGGGATTGGGTGCTGATCGAATGGTCGAGGATCTCGGATCCTTTGAGAACGTATTCTTGACCGTTAGATGGATAGACAAAATCGTTGTCTGCTAAGTCGTGCCAAACGAAACCAGTTTTGTAACTCCTGATTCAAGTAAAACCAAGTTGATGAATTAAATATCGGACGGTGAGGAGAAGTGATAACCTTATCAGACGGCTAGAAATGAACGAGAGTGTTACCGTTTACATGACCAAGAGTATAGGGTAGCCATGCCTTTGCCTCGAAGTAGGTTTAGGCGGTTGATTACATCTGAAGATGGAAGAAATAGAATTTTAATATCAAATTGCTGTGAACTTCTTTTTCTCAGCACCCAAACAGAGAGAAGAAAAGGTTTTTATTAGAAAAAAAATCACTTCTTTTTACATTTTATGCTTTACGAGAAAACAGAAAGTTAGCTGTTTTTGTCAGCAATGGAATTGGGCATTACCATTTGGCAAAAGGCATTTCTTGGGTACGTAAAATTCAAAATTTTGGTTACTTTCTTACAAACCAAACGGAGAATTCTGGGGAAGGGAAAAAGAAAGAAAATTTTGCAAAAAAAAAAAAACAACCAGAAAAGAAACGAAGACCTTATACCTTTGAGATAAAGTCCATGACTAGAAGAGAGAGGAACTTCCAGGAAATGAGGGTGTTCAAGCTGGCCATTTCTAGACAAGTAGTAAACAACAAAAACTTTCCTTTGAGCATTGCTGGTGAGAGACTTGGGTTCAATCCAGATTTTATTCCTTTCGGGGCTTATTTCTCTCTCTTTCCATTTCCTAGAAACAACCCCAAACTCTGTGGCTCTTCTACCTCTGGAACTCAACGCCATTGCACTTTCTCTATCTGCAAAACCAAACAACAGAAACAACAAAGATGGTGAATGAGACAGTACAAAGAAGAGAGCGGAGGTGATATAATATAAGAAGCAAGGAAAGTGATGTTACCTGAGGAAAGTGATGTTACCTGAGGAGAGTGAAGGGAGCAGATATGGGTGGATTTGGACTTTTATAGGAAAAGGAAGAGAGTGTGAAACGGAGAAGAGAAGTGAAGAGTTCAAAATGAGAGTTCTGCAGACAACAGCTAGCAAATAAATAAAAAGGGGTGTTTTGATATCAGTTCTTGGCTTCTTGCGGTTGCAGTAGCATTGTCAGTCAAATTCCTAGTTTATTTGTATTCCTACTTTAAATAATTTAAAGAGTAATTCACGATAAACTAATTATATGCCAATTTTATTTTAGTGATGTTTTGGTTTTGTCAATTAAATTGTTTAATTAATAACAATTATGTCATTGATTATAGACATTTAATAAAAAAATGCTATAATAGTTAAAAAATTTGTATAATTATATTTGGCCGTATGCCTAATAATTCCACCGTTTAATCAGAATCGAAAAAAAAAATAAAAAGTATGATATCATTGGTTGGATAGATTGGCATGATTGTGGTGAAGTAGTAGCACCAGTCAAATATGGTCCATATGAAAAATATATTGGATCTGATATTTACGGGTTATAATAATCCTGTGACATACTTAACATTAATGAAATATAATACAGTGGAAATTGTATAGATGCCATCGATATTGTATATTGTATATTGTATTGTTTCGAATTGTGTCATTGAGAACGAGCTAAAAAGGTTTGTTCTTGTCAAATTAGTCGAGGGACAATGATGTTGCGTTGGTGTACGTTTATCTTTACGACGTTAAATACATCTGATTTGTTCCACATTTAGTTAATAGATGTGGCTTCCAATTTTACATGAACATCTCACATAATCACTTGAAATTGTCATATTAGGACTAAAAACTGAACATTAAAAAATACGATTATATCATGTCTCCTACATCACTAACCACTTATTGTGTTTCTCCCTCAATCAACACTTAGTGTCCCTCGTCTGTTAATGTTGATAATCAATATATTGGAAACGCTCTATGCGATTTAGGAGTTAACATCAACATAATGCTCACGTATGTATTCAAGCAATTAAGCATAGGAGAAGCATGCCCTGACACTATAACATTATAGTTAGTTGATCGTTCCTATGATTATCTAGAAGTTCAAACCAAAGATGCTTTGGTAAGAGTGGATAACTTCATTTTTCCATTAGATTTTAATATTTTAAAATATAAAACTAATAATGATGTGTCGAGTATTCTTCGTAGATTGTTTCTTGCTATATGTAGATCAAGAGAAAAATGTTGTTAGTAGTCATATCTACGACATTATCAAAAGAGCAAGAGAAAAATACTAGAAGTGCTTTGAAGATTCAAGGAAAAAATATGTCGGGCTATCACTAACATCAAAGAGATTAATCCGGCCATACACATGCACAAAATTTTACTGAAATAATGTCATGATAATTTTATTGAACATTAACATTGATTGAATCCCATCATGAAGGAAGTTCTCAAAAAGAAAATTATCAAATAACTTGATGCAGAACTCATTTATCTAATTTCTTAAACAACTCTTGGGTAAGTCCAATGTAACATGTGTTTAAGAAATGAGGTTTCAATAGTTGTTAGAAATGATAATAATGAACTCATCCCTAAAAATACTTTCACAGGATGAAGATTTTACATGGACTCAATAAAGCTGCTCGAAAAGATCATTTTCCTTATAATTTATAAATCAATTGCACGATAGATTATTGGTAAAAGCCTTGTACTATTTTTTATGGCTATTCGGGATATAATCAAATCATCATAGCTCTTAGAGACCAAAAGAAGACTACTTCTACATGTCAATATAGTACTGATTGGAAGATGAAAATGAAGATGAGAAAACTTTGCTTATAGAGGAGGATTTCCAAGACAAATAGTTATTTAATACCATCATGATGATGTGTATATTGAGACAGTAAACTTTTTAGGTAGTGAAACTTAAACACTCAAGGGAAAATGAAGATTAATTATTAACACTGTGCTATTGATTTAAGATATTTTAAAAAAAATCCTCAATTTCAATTCAGGAGAATAAAAGAATAATTCCTAAAACTGTAGACAATTTTGGGCGACTTCCAAAGCAAGTTTGACAAAATTGTAAAACTTGTCTCCTAATTTGAAGTCTTGGGTATTTAATAGTTTAAAAAAGAATGCAATTTCCTTAAATGAATTGAAGATCACGACCTGCTTGAGCGCCCAAAATAAACTTTCTAAGAAAGTTCAAAGCAGTTTGAAAGATTATTAAAGGAAAAAATAATAAAGAAAGATGAGTTGACTTGTGCTCATTAAAGGTCCTCACTAACTTTGAGTCCAACAAAACACGACTGGGGTTGTTAAATGTCCTGTCGTTTCAATTACTTTATAGGGAATTTTATAAGGCTAAGGTATGGTAAAAATTAAAAGGGTTAATGCTATAACGGTTCTTTCATTATTGCTTCGAATTTAAATTACTATATCAACTTTTAAAATATTACAATTGAGTCTTTGAAGTAACAATATTACATTAAAAATTTTCCAATCAAATTGGCTATCAAATTTAATTGAGATTTTATTTTATATAAGACTTATTTTTATAGCGTGAAATAAGAAAAGCAATTTATTGTAAAAGCGTTGAGGAGGTTTCGAATAAATTAACCCTAGTAAAAGAAAAGTTTAATGCTAAGTACTAACAACGTGTTGAAAAGGAACCGAGACAGATTGCTCGTTAGCTGTATCCGAGAGATTAATGTTTTAGTTAATCAAACATCGTTTGACACGGTAAGACGATAATTTGAATCCGCACAATGTGATCTGAAAGTAGATGTGGCCAAATCTTTTGGCGATCTTAAGGGATAGCTAGGGATGACTATTTAAACCTGTGTTATTGGTTTGATGTTAATGCAATGAAGATATCTGAGATAAAGTTTGTATTCTCGCCTAGGATTACTAATAATATGGCAGATTACCTGGCAAAGATGGACTCGAAGAGAAAAGTTTTGTTCAAGGCAAGTTCGTGATATATAGAAAGGGAGTTATCCTAGCAGTTTTATTGAGTACCATAGTTTTGAATGTAAACTTGATCGAAATGGAGGTTTGTTAAGATTTTTTCTAATGTCGGTTTGGGGTTTTTTTTTGTGGAGACTGTTTTTGCTTTGGTTAGGTGGGGTAATTTAGGTCTACATTTCGTGTAATTCACTCTTTGAGCTTTGGTGTTTTTCTCAATTTTGAGCACTCTTTTCCCCCAATTAGGATTAGGGGGATTTTTAATGAGGCTCAAGATGGGGATATCCTATGAATTTTAATAAAATCTTCTGATTGCTGAGCGAAAAAAAAAATTGATTCGACTTTATCAAATCAATTTTTTATTATGAAAATTTAGGTTTAAGTTAAATTAATTTAAGTTTTTATTTAAATGGTGTCGTTCAAGTTTAAAATAAAAAATTTAATTTGACGTAAACTAAAATTATATTATAATTATACTTTATGTATTTGGACATAATAGAAGTGATATATATATATATAGGTCGAGTATAGATTTTGACTTAAAAATCAAATTGATTTTAGATTGGATATGCACTTATTAAACTAGAATCAGATGAGATATATGTGAAGAATTTTAATTTACTAGTCGAGTTTGGATGAATAAAAAATTTGATTCTACTCTATCATTTTTAAGACCAGAGGAGAATGCACTTGACCCCTTAGGAGCCAAGTGTATATCTATTATTTTAGATAAATTTTAAAATATAATTTAATATATTAAAAAAATAAAAAAGTTTATATACTCATTTTATTGAGAAAAAATATTAAAATTTTTATATCCTTATTTTCAAATTTTTAGTACAAAAGAAGATTAACGGCTTAAGTTATTAGCAAAGAAAGATGTTGAATCAGTGGGTGGGTCCAGTTAAGGATGGAAGAAGCGAGGGGCTAAGGCTACCGTGTCTCATAAAGTTGCTACGGGGTAACAAGGTTTTTGGCATGTTGTTTAAAGAAGTCCAAAAATCAAACCTTTTCCCATGCAAAGGCACGTGAAACTAAATTTCTTGATAAATAGCATGCATTTGAGTCATGTGAACTGTGAAGAAGACCCAAAGCCCCAAGGCACTTCTGCTGTATGCTTGTGCCAAGAGCGTCAAAAGTTCTTTTAAAAAACCTAAATAATAAGAAAATTTTATAATGAACGTCGGTTATCGAAACATATTCTAAAAATATTATATCGAAATACATCATTAATTAAATTAAAATAAGATAAAATAATAAATGATCATCAAACTATGATAAAATAATTTTTTTTAGTCATTCAAGTTTTTAAAAATTATAAGATAAAAATTATGTAGATGCTCATTTTGTCTGAGGTTTTCGTTCGAGTATTCGTTTGTGTTTATATATATATATATTGTTAATTAATTCAAATTGTTGGCTTGGTTTATTACTCCTATTAGTTATGATTATTATAATTCGACAGCTATATTGGTAATAATTATGGTAGATACCTACTATCTATTACTTATTATGTTTAAGTTATGCGCATACTTGTATATATTTATATATATATATTGTGTGGTTATATGTCGTCTTAAGTGCATATAGGTGATGGGCGTTTACGGGTTACACATTATATATCTTATGCATGGTATGTAGTTATATAGGCACCTTAGCCTTAATATATGCGTGTTCTACAGTATATATATATATATATATAATACTAAGTTGAGTACATTTATAAATAATATTAATATGTGTGTCTATGTCAATGGGGCCTAAACCCAAAAATTAATCTCATTGAATATTCTTCTCTACTTTTACAGGCCCAAAGGAGAACAAAGACTCATCACATGACCCAAACAGAGGCTCAAACCAAAGCAAGCCCAAGCTGCTAGGGTTTGAAGAAATCCTAGCTTCCATCAAGTCCCAGCGCCACC